AAATATACTTAATAATGTCATGAGTGCAATACCACAAGATATCAGCAGAGATGAGTGGCTTCAAGCTCTTCCTCGGGCTCTAGTTGTTGGGTTTGTGAAAACTGACATAGAATTTCAGCAAAAAGGTACGAAGGCCTCCAGTTATATTTCATTGTGTGGATCCTCAGACTATTAACGCATGCTCATTTTGACAATCTAATTTTGTTTACAGGCGAGACTTCTGGGACTACAGCAACATTTGTTCTGGTTGATGGTTGGACTGTCACTGTTGCATCAGTTGGGGATTCTCGATGTATATTAGATACCCAGGGAGGTGTAGTATCTCTTCTGACAGTTGATCACAGACTGGAAGAGAATGCAGAAGAGAGGGAACGTGTCACTGCTAGTGGTGGTGAAGTAGGAAGACTCAATGTATTTGGAGGCAATGAGGTATGGCACAATCTACTTCATCCTTTATAAGCAGGGCTTACTTGATCTCATTTGTTTTAATTCCTAAATATGTATACAGGTAGGACCCCTTCGCTGCTGGCCTGGCGGATTATGTCTTTCTAGATCGATTGGTGACACAGATGTCGGAGAATTTATTGTGCCAATTCCCCATGTTAAGCAAGTAAAGGTGAGGCAGTTTTATTCTTAAGAGTATATAACCTTGAGCTTTATGTGAAAGTACTGAGTTTCAAACATTTTCTTGGTTACTCAGCTTTCAAATGCTGGTGGAAGACTTATCATAGCTTCTGATGGCATTTGGGATGCCTTATCTTCTGATATGGCTGCCAAGTCTTGTCGGGGTCTACCTGCAGAGCTTGCTGCAAAGCTGGTAGTTAAGGTGATGCATACTAGGTGCAGTCTTTCTATCACTTTGAGAGGCGTCCAATTATGTTCTTGTGTTAATGCTTTGCTGTTCCTCCTTTCTCCAGGAGGCTTTAAGGTCGAGGGGACTGAAGGATGATACAACTTGCCTTGTTGTAGACATTATTCCTTCAGATCATCCTGTATTACCACCAATTCCGAAAAAGAAACATAATATGATAACTTCACTTCTCTTTGGGAAGAAATCTCAGAACTCCACTAACAAAGCTAGTAATAAGCTGTCTGCTGTGGGAGTTGTAGAGGAGTTATTTGAGGAGGGTTCTGCAATGCTTGCAGAAAGGTACGTTACGCCAGTAACAGATGCTTTGTCCAGCCCATAACTGCTGCATTTAGATCTGTATACTATACGTATTTGCGTAATGCCTGCATCCATGCGTTTTGTGTGACAAGTGGTAGGATGAAAATTGTTTTTGCCTCTCTCCATACAATTTGGATGGGATTGAGTTTTAAATCTTGACTCTGCAAGTTTGTTGCTGAAAATGCAGGCTTGGTAAGGATTTTCCTTTGAATGCAAACTCTGGGATTTTCCGTTGCGCAGTCTGCCAGGTGGATCAACCTCCTGGCGATGGTTTATCAGTGAACTCTGGCCCTTTCTTCTCGACCGCATCTAAGCCGTGGGAAGGTCCGTTCCTCTGTGCAAACTGCCGAAGGAAGAAAGATGCCATGGAAGGGAAAAGGCCTAGCAGACCCACAGTGACAGCATAGTAATTGTCTAATATTTTAGTAACATAGTAAATATTAGTATAATTTTTGCCTGGCAGTGTGAGCATGTTTGGTTTTACCTTTTTGTTGGTGGTTGAATACCACAGATGTGAGGTTGAGATGGTTTGATAGGTGTGTTGGTGGTTGTTGTAAGTTTTGATTCTGGCTTGTGCTCAGCTGTTGGACCGACTGACAACAAACGTGGTCTAGTAGATAAGTTCTAATGGTGTGTTTGCTAACGGCTTGAATCTGTAAGTAAATCCAAATTGAAGACAGCATCGCGATATGTTTCTCAATAGTACATGGGTCCTTTCCATGTAGAGAGATTGATTATGTTGAAGTACACACAAAAGTCACCAATCTCTGCAACTCTTCTCTAGTTGTACCTGTCATGAGATGTTCTGTGGCCCCCATGCGACAATGACGTAGAAACCAAAAATTACTTCTCATACTCAAATTAAAGGATACAATAATGAACAATAAATGCTGCAGGTGGGGGAAGAAAATATCAAGTTTTTCAAAATATGATGAATGAAGTTGCGAGTCATGAATAGAATTTGATATATGATAAAGCTCACTTGTTTAGTTATCTGAATGTCGACCACAAAAATGAGTAATTAATGCCGGACTAAAGGCATTTGATTAATTTTAGTAGATTAATACAGTATTAAGATTAATTGGTTAACACGTAATTATCTGAGCTGAGTTGTTATATATTAGCTAGTCAGGTTAGTTGCCACGCCAGATTGTTGGGAGATATCATCGAGGCTATTAGGCGGACTTCACAATGTTCCTCTGCATGTATAAGTAAGCTGTATCTGGCTCGTTGTCGCACTGTTGAATAATAATCAGCACATTTTGTTCAAATTTTTCTCCCTTGCTCAACCTCCTAATCGTCCTCCAGGCCTAAAATTGCTTCATTTGGAATCAGATATATCATATATATTTTTTGAAATAGAAAACAATTACTAATGGGCCAATCTCCTACAGTTTAAAGGTCCTAATTCCTTAATTTTTCCCAGAGGAGGTAATACACCAGCTAATAAATCGAGATGAAATAAATAAGAAAAATTTACTTATTGTAAGACGTGGGGCTAAATTACCTGAGCATTTGAAGAGAATGAACCTTGTAAATCCCTCGAAATAAGGCATTATTCACTCCCACGTCTCTACCGTAATTTCCCACTTCTTAACTCCATTGTGCAAGTTTATAACCCACAATAATGTGCTTCAAATTCCTCCAAGCTCAACACAACACGATGGAAGAAAACCCAAACGCATGCAAGAATCCTATTGCTGCAGCTAACATTCCATCAAATTCTTCTTCGTCTCACTTCATTAGCATCGCCATGCGCGATCACTCAAAGCTAAGCATGAAGATTCCCAGGTTGATGGACAAAACCATGCACAGCAGAAGTCGAAGGACTAAACGTGGATATCAGTTTCCGAAGAAAGTTGTGTCAGTCTTCTTCTCCAGCTTGTTTGGAAAGAAGAGATCACTGGGTACAAAAGACGAAGATCATACTGAGTCGGAGAGTTTTTTAGGAAGGAGCGACTCCCAACATGAGAAAGAGAAGAACGTTACTGCAGAAGGAAACGGTTTGGTTCATGAGAATCAGCGAATTGTAGGTCCGTTATCTCAGCTTATTGAACTTGAGCTTGACGATGCTCTGGAGCCTCACGACGCAGAGGAAGGAAAGCAAGAACACGGAGTTCTTCCATTAGCAAGTTTTGTTGATGGAAACAAGAGTCATAATGGCGAAGCTGCGGGAGACCGTACAGATGTTGTGAGCGGTTGGGGACTGTTGAGGATCAAGGTAAGATCATGCCGCCTCGTTAGGGTTGTGTCGAGAATAGTCACCATTACGAGTTGGCTGAAAAAGAAAGCAAGGGAGGAGGTTGAATTGGAAGACGATGGGAAAAGAGAAGAGGAGGAAGAAGAAGCATGTCTGTGGAAGAAGAGGATCCTCATGGGAGGGAGATGCAAGCCGCTGTATTCTTCAGGCGGCTTTCAGTACGATTCAGATGGCATTTTAATCCCGGATCTATTTCTGTGACCCACGCTCTTCTTTGTCATTCGCAAATCGCAATCCTCCTTTCCGAAATGTTTGATATCTACATTAATTCTTCGATACTGGCTTCTGCTTCAAGGGGGCGCCTCGCCTTACACTTGTTAGCGATGCCTCAATTAGAATTCAATCTCCACTCCTTGCTTGCTAATGATGTACTTCGTTGGATTTTCCCACAAACTACACGATACTTCATTTTAAAGTCGTCTTTTAATTTCTGGCAAAAAACATTCTTTTAATTTCATCTCATTGTCCTCGTTAAGTGAATTTTGAATTTTTATCATAAACATCTCTTCAAAAGGAGACGGCAAACAAAGTAGAGGACCAGGTGCTCATAACCCATTTACCAGCCATAAAAGGTAACACCGACTTAACTAATTTTTGTAATTAAAGTTAGAGTGAAAGTCAATTAGTGTAATACGATTTATGTTTGGATATGTGTTTATAAAAAGTCAGTTGAAAAAGTTAAGTTGTTTAGATGATTAATAGAAAAGTTAGTTTAGTTGTAAAATAACTAAAAAAAATATGGACTTTATTAAATAGTAATATTTGAAATTTTATGTTTTTAATGTGATAATAATTTTAAAAAATACGTAAAATTATTATGATAAGATATAAATAGTTTATTTGTGAAATTATAAAATAAAAATATTTGTTACTGAAAAAATTTAAAAACACATAATAGATAATTAATTAAATATACATAATAGAACCATGAATATAAATTAAAATTTATTTGGTCTCTAATTAAAGTAAAAGAAATCACATAACTAAATAGATCATAAGCTTTGCACAATTTTTTCATAAATCAGTTAGAAAAGTTGATCCAGATTGTGTTGGATAAGTTAGTTAGAAAAGTTACTTTTTTCCATAAGTTAGTTAGAAAAAAAGCCACATCCAAATAATTTTCTGAGCCACAATAAACTATAAACCTCAATTTCACGTTTCTTTATGTGTTTTTACCATATGCAACGGCAATTCAAATGAGGCCGAAAAGTAACGAGCTCAGTACTGATATTTGGTCTATTAAGAAAATAGCTACTGAGCCAAAAATTAAATTGAAGCTGTATCCAAAAAATAATTAAATCGAAATGGGAACAAATTTTTTTAGGATTAATAATTAATTCTCAAAAAATAATATATTTAATTTTCAAAAAATGTATTTATTATAAAAAATCAACATTAAAAAACCTAATGATTTTAGGATTAAAGAATTAAATACATACTTTTTAAAATTAAGAACCAAATTGCAACATACAAGTTAAAAGACCAAATGTACACTTTAATCTTTCTTCTTTTTTTTTTCAGTTTTTAACTTCTAATTTTTCTTCAGATATGAACCTGCTAAAACAGACGATAAATCATCAAAACAAGCTGATTTTTATATAAAAACTTGTTCAGATATAAATTATATTATACGAATTAACTTCTATCCCAACTTGAAGTTTGTCACTTTTGCCAACTACAATCATACAAGCTCTAGCAGCCCAGTATAAAACTCAGCAACGGCCACTTCTAGTATGGAGGAACATTTTTTGTTCAGCACATATCACACAAACACAAGGAGACAAAGGAAGCGGTCAGGGTCTCAGGGGTTTCAACCCGAGAGCAGCTCGTAACTTGTTGGCTTCAGCAATCTCAGGATCCGGGTGATCGGTCCCATCGTCCTTCTTCTCCTTCTTCTCCTTCTTCTTCTTAGGCTCTTCACGACCTGCACCACCATCCTCACGTCTGCCATCTCCATGCCTTCTACTACTCGGACTCATGCTACTCCGTGCATGTCTCTTCCTATCCCTGCGATCTCTGCTCCTACTCCTGCTCCTTGAGTGGCTTCTTCGTCTCCCTCTCTCCCGATCCCTATCTCTCTCTCTCCTCTCCCGCTCCCTCCCTTCTCTCTCTCTTCCATACTCTTTTTCTTCCCTCACACGATACCGGTCCCGGTCCCGGTCCCGGTCCCGATCATGGCCTCGCCCTCTCTCTCTATCATAATCTCGGTCATAATCTCTATCCCTGGCAGCCAGACATCCAAAAATGCAAATTCTTTTAAGAAAAAAGCACTGATCATGATAACACCAATTCAGAAGGAGAAGACTTGTAAACCATTGAAAAATCACCTCCACTGACCACTAAGTAGTTTATGCACGTGACTGGAGAAATAGGGGTAAAATCAATATGACAAACAAATGATTTCGCTTTAACCCGTGGCAATTAATTGACCATGTTTAATGACTCATTCAACCACTGTCGCTCACCACCATGAAAAGCTTTTCTGACAAGAAATATGCAATTCCCTAACAGATCAATTGATTAATTCACATGTTGATGTGATCACATGGAACCATATTTAAACAGCAATAACAATGTCTGATCCATCATACTTCTCGCTGCACACTGTCAGTGCAGAGAAACCTGGCAGGATCACAATGTTTTACTCTAGGAAGCAGTTGTGCACCACAAATGGCTATGAATGCCACAATGGAAATAGAAATATGACTTTAAACAGGGTATATGTTGGGTAACTTCAGAAACAGCTTCCGTTACATTTTAGCCGTCTTTTTGAACAATAAAATGCCTGTCATTATCGCAGCAATCATGGAATAAAACGCAAATTATGCTTGCATTGGACATTTAAACCCAAACCCCAGCAGATTAATTTATGGATAACGGAAGAGCCAACAAGAATTATACTCCATTCAATCTCCTTGACTAAACTAACGTGTCAAGCCATGCAGATGCTTGCAATGAGTAAAAGATACCTGTGCCTATGACTATCACGTCTTCTATCTCTATCTCTTTCCCTTGTGGGACTTCGACCCCGATAGTAATCCTGTTGAACATTCAATAATCAGACCAAAAATTAAAACCACCTATATTTGACTTAGCATGGACAAGGAAGAAGGAAAGAAAGAAAAATGATAGCTTTTTTTTTTTTTTGGGGTTATTAAGAAGGGAAAGGGAACACACCTTCTCATAGGCTCCATCTTCAAGCTCATCAACAGGCTGTTCATTTTCCTCTTTCTCTTCTTCCTCCTCAAAATCTTCTTCAAGAGCACTACGTCGAGGTTCTAAGGCATCAAGGGATTCAAGAGTCCACCTATGAAATAAGAGAAGACAAGATGGAGAAAGATAAATCACAACCCAAATTGAAAAACCAGCTCTCGAAATAAATAATACTTAAAATATCATTGCAACAAACTTTTCATATAGAAATTGCCTTAGTTTGACAAGAAAAATTTTTCAAAGGTTTACCAAACAAGTTTTTCAAATTCAGAAATAGATAATCACATGGAAAAGTTATACTCGAGAAGTTAAGAGAAACCTTTTCTTAATTCGAGGCAAAGCAATATCGCAGGAGTAATCTTTTGTCAAGAGCTCATCAATAACCTCATCCACATGTGTCAAACTAAACTCTGAAACATCGAGAACAATTAATTTGCCCAAATTGTGAGTCGCAATAAGCATATGGTATAATAAACATATTGATTATAACTGAGATGGTATAATAAACATATTGATTATAAACTCTTCCAGTGCCAGAACTGGCATAGAATTATAAGGCAGAAGCTTTCATATTTAAGTTTAAAATCTTACGGCCATCAGGTAATTTTCGTCTGAGTTTTCGGTAGTCATTGTATAGGGGCTCCAAATATCGATACACATCAATATCAGAACCAGTAAGACGCAGATAAAAAGCACCAAGTATTCTCACATATCTGCAGCCATATTTTAAAAATAAACAAAATGAGAAACTACTAAAAGAAACATGCATCAATAGGCAAAATGTAGGAAGGAAAACGAGAACGTGATGTGACACTATATCTGATTTATTTTCGAAGACGGACATCAGTGATTCGGTGCCATTGTAAATTTCTCTCTCTCCCTTTTTTCTTAGAAGTAAAGTTGAACATGGTCCAAGAAGAGCACTGCAGTCTTGAAATAGTTAAATTATTTTTGTGCCCAGGAACACCATATAGAGGTCCTTCAACGGCAACACAAGCATCAAAATAAGTTTTTCAAAAGTATGGTTCCTAGGCTCACTCCCAAATTTTCCTCTACCAATTGCAGGTAAAGACACACTAGATCTAAATCAGCTCAAACTCATTCTCCAACTCAATTTACAACGATTTGCCAAGTAGATAATCAAGATAAAACAGTTACTTCTCCAACAATAAGCATTCAAGGAGGGGGGAAAAAAGATGCCAAAGTCATGCCAGGGAAAAGAAAAAGGTAGAAGTACTTGTAATCCTCATTCTTGATGAACTCGATAACAATTTCCTTCTCAGGTTGAATCTGCAACATCTTCATAACAAGACACATGAAGGGCGTGGGTTTGCGGTTACCGCCATAAGTCCCACCAAGATATTCAAGCTCCATGGCTTTGTCCACCAAGGTCTCCGCAGTCAAACCAAAACATTGTTCTTTCCAATAAGTGTTCTGGTAGATCTTCGATCGGAGAATCTTCTCCACTAGATTCTGAGGATTTGTGCCTCTGATGCTTTTAGCTGCTGGGTCCGTGCGATTCGCCATTTATGAAGTTCTTCACAAAGGATTAGATAAACCCTATTCCATAAAATTAACCAAATACAGAACAATGATTAACGACCAAGAGATAGCAGTGTTGTACAATTCTTTTACTTAAAAAGAAAACTGCGTCAAAATTAGTGTCTACCAAGAACGCCTGAACTTCACAAAAAAAAAAAAAAAAACTGCTCATGAGCTGTAGGGCAAAAATCCCTACAAGGGAAAGAACAGTGAAGAAGAATATAGTCAAATACCAGAATGTTAATTGCAGTACCTTTATAATGTTATTCTTTAAAATAAAATTAAGAAATCAAAACAGAATTGCTTTAAAAAGGCCCGTTGAAGCCAAAACAACGAGTAACAAGGGGGAGGGTGCAAAGAAGTATCAAATGGCATACCGTAAGCGTGTTGATTTCAAGCCATGACTGCAAGGTGCGATGCAGGTTCAAGCGGCCAACAAGCTCTCTGACGATAAGGCAATGTACGAGAAACTTGCGCAGGCAGGGAAGCCAGCCAGAGGAGGGAAGAACAAGCGGAGATAATGATGAAAGGCCGTAAAAAGATAAGAAGAGGAAGAAATGTCCGCGAACGGGAAAGAGCGTGAAAAAGGGGGATGCACAAGATATGTAAAACCCTAAAATTGAGAATTAGGGATAACGAAAGACATCTAGGAGGCTAGTGCCGCAAAAGACGGAGGCTCGAAAATGAGCACCGACTGTGGATCTATTACAGACCGATGATATATTAAAATGCGTTATTATTATTTTTTTATTATAGTTTTTGTCCTTTTATTTTATTTTAATTTAATAAAAGTATTTAAATAAAGAAACAAATTAATTGAGAAACTCGTCAAAACACTAACTCAAAATTTGATATGAGGGAAATAGAGAAAAAGAAAGAGGAGAGAAAATTTTAATGAACCTAACTTAAAAAATTGGAAGAGCGGGATTATAAAATTTTAATAAAGAGAAGATATAAGATAAAAAATTAATAAAAATTAATTGAAAGTTTTTAATTCTATTTTTTAATTTTTTTTAGATTGAGCTTTTTAAAATTCTTCTTCCTTTCTCATTTGATAAGTTGACATCACGTATATTACAAATTTTAAAAATTCACTTAATTCATAAATTGACATATAATATAATATTGTTTAGAATATTTTAAGTAAATAATGTCATGTTTATTATAATTATTATTTAATTAAATTTTTAAAATTTATTCAGATTAATTAAGTATCAAGTGAAGCAAAGAATATGATTTAAATTTAATTGGAAATAATTAAAAAAATCATCTCTAATCACAAGAGACAGCGTACATGGGGTTCACACAAAAAATACAACATAATTCCTTGAACAAGCACGAATCAGCTCCAATTGGAATAAACCATAAAATGCAAAGGGCAGTGCCTAATTAATTAGTAAAAACAACATTCCCTGTACAAGAAGTCCAAATCAATCATCTAAATGGAATTTTATCTTTCTTTTCACTTTCTCATGCCAACTCTTAAAAAAAGAAGAAGAAGAAGAGTTTTTAATCCTTTCGCATTTCCTCTCCATAATCACGTGTCGTCTAATTGGAGCCTGCTAGCAAGAGTTTTTTTTTCCTTTTCCCTCCCGGGTACAATAGTAAGAGTTAAACAGTTAATATGATTGCAGCTTGAACCTCATCATCAGCAGGGGAAGAAAAAAACTCGGGAATGCAGTAAGCAGGCCATGTATAGTTAGTTTAATCCTTCGGACCTAAATAGAAAACTTATTTTATAATGTAAATTATATTACAAAATATTTCTTATATTTAGGACTGAAAAAGTATTAGAATCTGCTAATATGATTTCTTCTTTCAAGACAAAAGTCCTTAAGCATGATTTTCCCTCAAATGAAAAAATCAAGGCACACAAGACATGCAGAAAAAGGTAGAATTATTAGTTTGTTGTCATTGTATGTGAGTTAAGGTTTTCCTCGGGCAAAAAAAAGTGTTTAATATACATATTCTTGTATATGTTCTATTTATAAGTTGAATTGCGCGAGAAATCTCGGAGGATTCTAATCAGTTCGTTTCTCTATATACAGAAGGATCGATGTACACACAGATTTGGACGGCCATTATGACATATATGGTAATTACTTTTGGACCAAGCTATATAGCCTAACTGATTGGTCTCTGGTACTGTCGACCTCTCTTCCATATATTTGACCACCACCAAAACCTCGTCAATTCCCGCCACACCAACCGTTGCATATCTTGATCGCTTTTGCTTATCCACTATGATATTCATGAATTGGAATTCGTGTTTCGTTATATTTCTTGTGAACTTGTCCCTTCTCGCTGCTTCCCCGTTGCAATATGTGGACGTTGTTGCTGGCCAAGATGAGAATGTTCGCTTCTGGCGGAATTATGGCCTTCCATGGGGGACAGCCCATGTCCAAGTACTCGACCACGACACAGAAGTTCGGCTCAGTCTGGACAAGTACACGGGTTTGTATTCTCCTTCCTAATTAATTACCCGTGCTCTTATTGGTTTAATACTCATCTCCATGCAAGTAATAGTTATTTTGGTGATACACACAGGTTCGGCAGGGTTCAAATCGTTGCAAACCTATGGATCTGGATGGTTTAGCATGAAGATTAAGATGCCCCAGAAAGATTCCACCGGAGTTATCACCACCTTTTATGTACTTAACTTTTTTCCTCACATACTTCAGTTCACACACACACACACACCCCCACCAGAATATATAGATTTTTAATTGTTTTCATTCATCGCTTTTGATATTGTTTTCTTGTGCATGCGTGCGTGCGTATGGCTTGTCTTTGTGTATTATACATACGCATAGTTGCGTTCAGATAAGGGGGATGAAATAGACTTTGAGCTACTAGGAGGAGATGGAAAAGAACGACCCTACGTGGTTCACACAAACCTTATCACCAACGGTGAAAGCCGAAGAGAACAAGGTTTCCATCTTTGGTTCGATCCAACTGCTGATTTTCATAACTACACTCTCCTCTGGAACTCCCACCAGATAGTGTAATACACTAATCATAACCACCATCATCACCGATCTTTTTCTCCCTCAATATTAAACATGAAGTTTGCATATTTATGTAGATATGTATCTTCAGGTGGTTCGTGGACGGCAAGCCTTTTAGGGTGTTCGAGAATAAGGGAGGAAGTTTCCCAAGACAGGCAGTGAGCATCATCGGGACAATATGGAATGGGACGTGGGCATCAAATGGGGCTCCCGTGAATTGGAACGACGGACCCTTTGTGGCTTCCTACAGAGGATTTGGGGTCACCGCATGCCCAACACACAGCATCGACGATCCACAGTGCAAAGATTCTTCAAACTATTGGTGGAACGCGCCCAAGTATGCGAGTCTTGACCCTCTTCAGAAGAAACTCTACCACGAAGTCAGAAGCAAGTATATGGTCTATGATTATTGTGCTCACAATCCCATCCCTGAGTGCCATGGTGGGGACCTTTAGTAAACGACTCATGAGTTTCCCTGTCATAATGATCGTCCGTACGATTATTGAACCATCCATCTCTCAGATTTGTTGCATGTTCCATCAACTTACTCGCCATTAATTTGGAATTGTGAACTATTGGTCTATTGCACCTTGTGATCAAAATCAAGGTGTAGCGTGTGATACGAATAGTTGTCCATGAGCATCAAATAAGAAAATTAAATACAGAAAAAATCATACAAGTCATTTTTATATTTATATATCAAGTTGTATTATTTATATGGGTAATTTATATATCAAGTTGGTCATTATAACTTCTTCATCCGCAAGTTTCTGCTATCTGCATATGCGTCGTAATTGCAAAACAAGGCAACTACCACATCTAGAAACTATGTTTACCTCCAAATTCAATTATCTTCTTCTTTTTTTCCCGGTAAAAAGGCTATTTTAATTATCTCTAGCTAACAAAAATAACTTCGATTTAAGCTGTAATAGGACGGGTTAGATTCTCTCATATCCTCTACATATAGCAACACGCGTAGTTTAAATAATGACGTAAATTGCAATTAAAGCGGCAGGTACTGTCTCCGATACAAATTTTTTTTCCATGGTGATTAGCGGAAAAAAATCAAAAACAAAGTCCAAGGCTTCAGTAACTTAAAATTCATAAGCATAGACAAAGGGCAATTTGTGGATAGACAATAGTAATTAATAAATGATTATGAAATTTGACCCAAAAAAATGACTGTGAACAAGAAGTCTGCAGGCAAGTTTTAAAAATCTGTTTACCGAAACAATCCAATCTTTAAATTAAGGTAAAAACATCGAACGCTTTCAATTGGACAAACCTTGTTGGCTCTTTTAATATATATTTATTAATTTATAATTGTGAGAAATTTATGTGCCAAGAGCCGCAGGAGTAAGGGCTTAGGCGTTGGCAAATTAATAGAAGGGCTTACGCAATTGATGCCTCTCGATCCTTAATCTGTCATTCTCCGGAAATGATTTCCGTAACATTTTTTTTTATTTTCTTTCTATCCATTTCAGCTCAAACTCCACCAATGATTCGCCGCTTGTTCTTTCGTCAACTTTCCTCACTCAAGCTTGTGCATGATTTTTTCGTTTGCCGATTGAGTTTTTAGTGAGCTTCATCATTAGTAGTCAACTGCCGATTTTAGAGTAAGAAAATGCTTCTCTCATTCCCGAATAACCCTAAAATAATAATGTGATATTATGGGGAGGGGAGTGGGGAGCGCAAAAGGCCCTCGTTAAATTTTGATTTTTGTTTTTCTGCCACAACCCTTAAATTTTGATTCATTTATTTATAATTATAAACCGTTGAATTTTTTAAAATTGGCAAGGAGATATTAAACTTCAATTTTTTTGGGGCGTCCAAAGCAGCAGGGTATAACGGCCCCCTCACCAACATCAGTAACCAACGAGATTTCATTATAATATATCAATATGGGAAGAGAATTAACATATTCACATTACAAATAACCAACGCAATTACAAGTTGACTACAATACAATACACAAGTTTAGTACATGACCTGAACATTTACCCATTTTATGTCCAAGCTGGTATTGACAAGAGACAAATGGGGGAATCAAAATCTAACATGATTAGACTAGAATGATACAATGAATCTTATCTTTGTGCCTGATCAGGAGTGTGGATATTTGAAGTAGATGACTGCCCTTGCCTACCGTTTAGCACTCCATTATCTACAGGTGGAGTAGATCCCCATTTACCATCTGATTCAGAGGGCTCTATTACTTTGACGGATCCATCGGTCAACCCAACAGCCAATTGGTTGGGTTCTTGTGGATGAGCTGCAACCACGAGTGGGTAAACAGCTTGGCTTCTGCAAAAATTAAGCATGACTTAATTGTCTGATCGAAAAATGTTTAATGCTAAATATCATAGAGGTGGATTCAATCCATTATTCCTGACACTTACCCACTTAAAGCTGCCTGTGACAAGTATGCTGATGGAGCAATACGACATCTTAGCCTCAAGCTATCAGCATCAAAGACCCCAATGTTACCATCAAAGAAAGTAGCATATATTAACAGACTGTTGCTTGAATAAGTTGCATATGATATGGGAGCAGGCAGAATATCTTGTGGAAGCCACTGCAGCACAAAATCAGATAAGCATATCACTATTTGGACTCAGTCAGTCAGTCACTAGCAGATCAACTAATGCCAGAAGTAACCTCCTACCTGTCGAATGCGATCCATCTTGGAAGCATCATATATTGCCAAATGAGTCTCATGGACTACCAATAAGCGGAGTTGATCAGAATGGAATTGGACTCTAGTATCACCGACTGGAGACTTTCCCGCAGGTAATTGTATTGTTATTGATTTTCTTTTCTCCCATGTATCAATGCTCCACACGCAAAGCTGAAAAAATAAATGAAATTTTAATAAATGAAAGGTAAAAGCATTGCACGCAGACATGCCTTAAAAGTATAGTACTATGAACTTCTGTAATTGTATAGATAATGTTAACAGACATACTTGGGCATCAGCACCAGACGAGACCAGTATGTTAAGATTGGTCGAAAAGGCTAAACCAGTGATACGCTTCTGATGACCCTTCAATTTCGACTTGACCTAGTAATACATCCAAAAGAAAAGGAAGATATCTATGATTATAGTAAACAAATAGCATATCTCAGGTTGGAGAGAGTAAGCAGCCAAAGATGGTAATCACCTCATCCACTCTAACATTGTAAATGTGAATCGTTGAATCCTCCATCCCAATGGCTATGATGTTGTTATCCTGTGGGTGGAAAGACAGGAAAGTCGAGGCAGGAGGTGGTGGCATGAACGTTGTCATTACCTGGGTGAAAATAAACGGTGGTTACAAATAAGCACCAGTAAAATTTGAAACGAAGATCAGACATCTACATCAGATGCAGACCTTGAATGTCATCATGTTAAATAATGAAACCTTTCCACCACAGGCGGACATAACATAAGAATCATTCTTTGAGAGTGCAATGCAAGGAACTGCTTCTTCAAGGTTGACACCAGAAATATCATTGGTCATAAGAAGACCACTGTTGGGTTGCCAGTGTTGAGGAACAACACTGGCTGTGGCCTGAAATCATCTAAGCATCATTAATCGATTCACTGCTGAGTTGGAAGAAGAAATAAGACACGTAACAGAAGGGTGGCAAGGAAAATTAAGTGAACCGATTATTTGATAGATGGTACCTTCCCAGTAGGATTTTGTTCATTACGAGTCCACTTCCACAGTTTCTGAATACCATTTGACCCAAGTGCCAAAACACCAGCACCAGAATTTGTATATAAAAGTCGAACAACCTACACATGAATACATAAGCTATGGGCAGGACATGAAATTTGTCAAAGAAAAGGTGATCTAACAAGTTCAACAAACCTTGCTGGAAGCATCTGCACTCTCGGGCATTGTAACTAACCGACATTGGATAGCATCCGAAATTTCAGATAGCTGCCATGGTTTAGTTCTATCTATCACATCTTCCATGGTTCTAGGCTTCTCCAAACTCAGTCCCATAGGGTCAACTCCATTCTAAATTGATAAAGTCAAAATAAGTTAAGACTTTGCTAACAAGTATTAAGATGAAGCACCTCAATCACACAAATATTACAGAATTCGGGAATCCAAAAGACGGTACTCCTTGCTAGGGAAATGCAGAAGGTTATTAAGGTTTTTATAACATAGGAGAAAAAGATCATGTCAGTTTCATGTTCTTGCACAGTGAATCTACAAAAATGAAATATCAAATCCACGTATTTATATATTTGCTGGGTCTTATCATTAGACTATGACATCATCATAATCACTGTGCCAACATCATAATCAATTCATGCAAATTTAGGCAGGCCAACTTCATACAAGGATTGGAGATGGCCTGACAGGCGAGTTCCTCTCCACTTTACAGTTGACAGGACTGACATTTACAGCAGGGGAGCCAGAAACCTAGATAATGGAAACAAAGTGGGCAATATATATAAATAATTGGACCTAAATATAAATTTTCAGAATGAAGAAAAAGTGGGGGAAAGCATTAGCCCACCTTATTTGCAGTTGATTCCATCGGAGATCTCAATGCTTCAAATGCTGGAGTTTCCACTGCCCTTAAGGATCTCAGACCAATAGCATTTGCCAGTACCTTGATTCCATTGTCCGCAGTAGTAACAGCAAGAAGATTTCCTTCCTTATTAAATCTCAAACGTGGCAGGCTCTGAATACATAGGTGCAATAAAATAAGGGTATCTTCAGAAAGTGTAGTTCTATTTGGGAAAGATTAAAACAGTTAAAAGCCGGATATTGACCTGCAGTCCACCCTCTGCATCAGTGCTTGTGAGAACACTAACAATGTCCATATCCCAGAACCTTATCTGGCCATCTTCACCTGCAGCCAAAAAGCGATTTTGGGTTGTGTCAAACTGCACAACCCCATTTGATTTCTTTCTGAACCCACTATACGTCCTCTTAATGGCTCCTTCACTTTCATTCCATTCAACTAGGAAAGATTCTCCATTTTTACTTGTTCCACAGGAAAACAATCTAGAGAAATGGGGGAAATTTTAGACGTTAGTTAGTATTATGTCATGGGAAAAAATGCCAATAACCAGGGAATGCAAAACTTATGGAAACATGCATCCCTATCTGTTTCCAACTTACCTACTTCCATCAGCACTGTAAAGCATTGTGGTGCAGCAGTGACCTGGAGCATCATAGTCAACTCTGGAACCCATGTGATCATACAACCAGGCCTTTATTTTTCCATCAACAGCAGTTGAAAATATAAACTGCAAAGTCAAAAACAGTTAACTTTAATGCCGAGGAAACCACAATTGACTTGAAAAGGCTGGCAGTGCTGATTCCACGCATAGCACATGTAACCAGTTAGCTCATGGGATATTATTTTCCAAGAAAAGAAAACAGGAGAGATTAGAGAATTGAAATGAAGACAATGCATCTGGGCTAGGGTCATGGACAAGCGGTACTTGATGTGAAATTCTGCAGTAGCAATACCATGGTCATATTCCACCATAAATATTCCAATACAGGATAAAATGTGGGATACAAAATTTCATTACTGACTGGTTTGTGTATAAATTAGGGACTAGAAAAGAATA